TAACCTCAAGACTAGTGACATGTATGTCGAACCACGCACATATTTATCATATTTTGATTTTTGCTCAATTTTAAAAAGCATTTCGAGGTTATAAACCTACTCCCGCATTGTACAGAGAAACCACTTTATACTTGTTTATCTATGAGAGAAACGCACTTTTTTTTTTGAAACGCACTTAGAATTTCGTCGCAAAAGTTTTTACCGTTGTACGCTCTTAAGTGATTTCTCATCTAATTTTCACGAGAAATATATATATATATACTAGCAAACCCGACGAACTCCGTTTCGCCACCAGATAGTTTCGTGAGAAAGATGAAGAAATTTTTTGTTTGTTTTATATTTTAAAAGGAGAAATTTGATTTTATTATACAACAGTAACGAATTTATTTTGATTACAAAAATGAAGTGTTTTTTAGTTGAACTTCTCTAAGTAAATGAAAGTGAACCCGCAAATTATCCATTTATGGAAGTGATCTTTGGTAAACCACATTTTTTGTTTTTTGGTCTGACATTAACACAAACAAAGCGGATGGTTTTCCAACTTGTGAACAGGTAACGTATAACTGCCCATGTGAAAAACAATGATTTTCTAAATAATCTATTTGAAATTTATCCCGCAAACACTAAGCAATTGGCCTTGCGACATGTTATTGCGAACGCAAGGCGAACTGGATATTGCAATCGTTTGAAGTCAAACGGAAGACCAGTCAGAATCTTCGGTATGTCACCAAATCGCCAGCAATTTTTGATTGTATGGTGAAATTCAGGGCGTGTACATCATTATTCTTTGCGGCAAGAATTGCTCGTTGACTTAACCAAGCATAATTCTGATAATTCTCACTAATGTCATTACTCGAACTTTTAATTACGGTGCGTAAAGTTCCAGCAGCTTGCATTAAGGCACGATGCCATGCACAACTAATTTTCTTAGCTATAAACCTTGCGAAGCCCGAGACCTTTCCAACGAATGCAAATTTGTCGAAATCGGTTCGTGCGTTCTGGAGTTATTTCGTCAGGAAGGAAAACCCGACTAATTTTTATATATATAATATATAGAAGATAATCTATTTGAAATTATTTAAAACAGTTATTGATTATTTTTATTACTCGAATTTTTAATTACGGTGCGTGAAGTTCCAGCAGCTTGCATTAAGGCACGATGCCATGCACAACTAATTTTCTTAGCTATAAACCTTGCGGAGCCCGAGACCTTTCCAACGAATGCAAATTTGTCGAAATCGGTTCGTGCGTTCTGGAGTTATTTCGTCAGGAAGGAAAACCCGACTAATTTTTATATATATATAGAAGATAATCTATTTGAAATTATTTAAAACAGTTATTGATTATTTTTATTACTCGAATTTTTAATTACGGTGCGTAAAGTTCCAGCAGCTTCCATTAAGGCACGATGCCATGCACAACTAATTTTCTTAGCTATAAACCTTGCGGAGCTCGAGACCTTTCCAACGAATGCAAAATTGTCGAAATCGGTTCGTGCGTTCTGGAGTTATTTCGTCAGGAAGGAAAACGCGACTTATTTTTATATATATAGAAGATATATATATATATATATATATATATATTATATATATATATATATATATATATATATATCTTTGAAATGCAAAGTTATTTTTTGCCGATTGTTTACATTGTGTTTGTGGGATGCATATGCAAAAAGGCGTTTGTAGATGGGCCACTATTTGTGGACAGACAACGGCCACTTGCATAATGCCGTTCTTTGCACAGTAAAGGGTTTTTATCAATTAATCGAACGTTTTATTTACTTATTTTTATCTCGTCATTCATAATGCCTGTTAAAAAACAGAAAACTCCCAAAAAGTGGTGAATTAAGAAAAATTAATTATTGCTGTGAAAGAAGTGAAAATAAATAAAATATTAGAGCGTGGTTTTTCTGCTATTACCAACGTTAGCAAATTGTCTTTTTAACGCAACAATACATCCCTTAAAAACAGAGGGACCGTGGCAGAAGCAGCACAGGGTAGAAAATTGCATGTATACCAGCAAAAGTTTCCAAGAAGGCCAATACTTTACAATCAGCCGTGAAAAAAGCAAAAAATAACACACTTTGGTTTCTTGAAATGAAGACATCAATTCTGATTCTCATGTGTAAATTCAAGATTTTCAAATGTAAAATATATTAGTGGTCAAAATGCCCTTTATCGCAAAATTATAAGAACTATTAAAAAGAATTATTGGACAATCTGTGTTGTGTTTCAAAGCTTACTTACCAGTTCGCTAAACATCGGCATATGATTCTTCCAATTTTCACCTTTAGTTACATCTTGGCTTTGTCCAGATGGAAAATTACCTTTTGGAGGCAATATTACGCCATATTTGATATTATCAACTATGAAACATACATGATCTAAAAGAATACCACAAAATTATTGGAACATCTTAACTAGAAAGTGATAAACACTTACAGGGTGTCCATTCTAGTTCGTATTTATGAAAAGCATTTGCCCAAGATTCCTTATTAACGTTTTTATAAACTTTGGCGGTGATATTCCTGACAGGATCATCGTGTTTAAATAATAAGGCACCACTTAATTCTGAAGATCCAAAGTCGTAATCTGTTTCCTGGGATTTCAGGACTTTATTTCCTCTCGCAAAAGCGATCCTCATGGCACCGGATTTATAGCCGGATCCATGATTGTAATCCTTGGGTTCCAAATTCAAAACTTGTGAAAAAGAATAATTATTAGTTCAAGATAATTCAAATTTACTTATTTACACTTTTAGACTTTTCTGATCATCCCTGATTGTCTCGATCATCCCTAAACTCTACTTACTAGGATATAACCAGTTTCCTTCCGGTAATTTAGCATCGATTTGAATTCTTCCATACCTGAAACTGAATTTAGATCTGATACTGGCAGACACTACTGGTGGTAATATATTATAGAACATGGCCTTCCTTGAGCACTCGCCATATGCCATTGGTGCACAACCGCATCTAGAAAGATATACAGCATATCTATATATAATATAATATATTCAGGTCATGATATTTGTCGCAATACTCGTCCGAAATGATTTGGCAGATATTTATAAAATTAAAAACACTGAAAAACCCACATTTCAGTCAATGAAAACCTGAGTTCATAAAAAAACTTAAATTTACTTAAAAAAATTATTTTACCTAACACTTTTCTTTTGATTTTGTGGTAAATTTTCTTTATATAAATTTACTTAATGCAGAATTAAAAAATAAATAGAAGTCTAAATTTTCATCACAAATCTCTATTTTATAATAGTCATTTTAATGGTCCACTCATTTTTATATATAACTCGAAAAGTGATCAATTCTCGTCTTTTTTGTGGACTTTCTAATTGAAATTTGATCATAATCTCAGTTTAAATTGCTTTCTTTTAGTTTATTATAGCAACTTTAACTCCCACGTTTCATACGGTATCTAATTCCGGGGTTTTTCATCCAAACTAATTAAAATATTTCTATTTTAAGCTTCAGAAAAGAGCTATACGAATAATTTTTTCCTTGCCCAGTAAAGCCTCCTGCAAGCCCATATTTCAAAAGCACAATATTCTAACTTTCCCATGTATTTTTATGCTGGTAACATTATCTTTCATCAAAAACAATTCGAAACTTTTTAATATGGCTTCGGCTTCCTCCAACTACAACACCAGACACAAACTTATTAAGGCGCGCACATATTCAGCTTATAAATAAACTTCCACTCAGTGTCCGAAACTTAGACAACAAAAAATTCCATACTACTTTAGTTAAACTTTTTAAAGAATTAACTTTTTATGACATTACAGAATTTTCTCAATTTGATTTCAATAACTATTTTCTTGCATAATCCTTTGTTTTATCTATGTAATTTGACCATTTGATTTCTTGTACAACCATGTTTTTTATGTTTGTTTATGATAGTTTTATTTATATAATTTTGATAGTTTCTTATTGCTATTTTATTAATTTAATTTTTACGGTTTTAAATCAGTATAACTTTCAACCTTGTGCAAGAATTTTGGACTTGAATGGTGGTCTAATAGACTTTAATATGATGAACTTGATTATGAACCTTCTATTTAATCGAATGTTTTTTTTCATCTCTTTTTTTCAGAGAATCGTGCAACTACTATGAATATTTTAAAATACTTAGCTTTTGTCAAGCTTATGAAGAGAAATAATATTTATTATAAATAAATAAATAAAATAAAATAAATTGCTTCAACTATAGTATTTAATTCATTTATAACATCTTCGCTAAAGGTAAATACAACGCTAATAAAACTTCTTCCCAAATAAATACATTATTCATTAATAATTATTTATTTATTCATCGATTAATAGATTGACTTACGTGCTTGCAAGATCCAATTCTCCGCTTTCAACAAAATCTGCATCATTCAAAACAGTCGGATGAAACATTAAACTTTTATCATTGACGAAAATATTTTCAGGTTTCGCTTGATAAGATACAAATTCGTTGTCCTGTAAAATAAATATAATACTAGTGGTGCATGACATTGTGCCTTAATATGCATATATGGCAAATTGCCGGAACTTCTTGTACCGTAATTAACTTCCCGTAGGGCAAGTTATAGTAATCTCAAAAAAATCGAAAATGAAAATTTTTATATATCATTAAATTTAAAGGTTTATGAATATTTTGGCATACCTTAGAAAAATGGATGTATGTGTGTGCGTGTGTGTGTGTGCGGATACAAATTTTTGTTCTCGAACACGAATCAACCGACTTGAATAATTCAAAAAACATTCGATTCGTATTGATAAGGAGACGTGCTGATTAGTTCTTGGCGAAGGGAGGTCTAGCCGTTCCGAAGATACAGGACAAAAAGTGCCAAAAACGGTAACCCAGTTTTTAAGAGAACGAGGCGTTCGATTTTAATAATTCAAAAAACATTTTACTTGTATTAACAAGATAAAGAACTGATTAAATTTTTGGGAATGCAAGTTCAGCGTTTATGGTCTCTCAATAAAAATAAGTTTAAAAAATGTCATTTGGCGGTCAAAAATGTTCATTGGACTTATGCACATCAAATTATCAGATATTTTATAGAGATTTTCATAATGTGTACACATTTTGTGTAAAGTTTTTTGGTTTCGTACCAAGATTTTTAATTACGGTACGAAAAGTTCCAGCAATTTGCCTTAAGGCACAATGACATGCACCCCACTAGTTAAATATTCGATACATAAAAATATCTAGTGGTGTGTGTGTCGTGTCTTAAGGCAAATTATTGGAACGTCTTGTACCGAAAATTAAAACTGGTGAGTATGGCATCATGCTTTAAGGCAAATTGCATGAACTTCCCGTAACGCACCGAATTGTTCGAGGAATATTAAATGTTTTCAAATAGATTATTATAAATATTGTAACATTGTCTAATATTTATAAGAACTATATAAACTGAATTGCAAAGTTGAAATTATTTGCAAATAATTTAAACAATTGTTTAAAGTATATAAGGCAGCTTCAGAAATTTAGTCAAAATTTAAAAAAAAAGAGACATTTTTTTTTCAAAAGCAATTATTTTGTTAAAACAAGCAGAAATTTCTTTGAATCATTCAAATCGGACGCTTAGTTCATTCGAAAACTGGCATTTTTTGTACATTGTACACATGCTCTGTATCTTCGAAATGGCTGGACCTGCCTTTGCTAAAAACTAATCACCTCTTCTTCCAATTGTTACAAATTGAATGTTTTTTATATCACTCTTTGCTACGTATCTCCGTAACGGCTGGACCTGCCTTTGCCAAAAACTAATCAGCACATCTCCCTATCAATAGGAATCGCATGTTTTTTGAACCATTCAAAATTGTTTGATCTGTGCGCTCGAAAACGTCAACGAAAAAATGCGGGCATACAAAACACACACACACGCACATTAATTTTTTCTGAGGTATGGCAAAATGTTCAGAAACCTTCAAAAGGTAAAGATATGCAAAAATTTTCATTTTCGAAGTTCCACCCATTACTATAACTACCCTAGGGAAAGTTAAAAAAAAACTTTAAAATTTATTGTAAACTTTGAAAAAAGTATCAAAAATCTCAAAAATTAGATTTTTGAGAATTTGTGAAAAAATTTGAATTTTTTGAAAATTTAGATTTTTTATAAATTTCGAAGTTTTCTGAAAATGTTGAACTTTTTCCCGTAGGGCAAGTTATAGTAATCGCAAAAAATCGAAAATAAAAATGTTTATAAATCTTTGCGTTTCAAAGATTTCTGAACATTTTAGCATACCTTAAAAAATGGATGTATGTGAATGTGTGAGCATGTGTGCGTGTTTGTGCAGATACAAATTTTTGTCGACGATTTCGAGAACACGGATCAACCGATTTGAATAATTAAAAAAACATTAGATTCGTAATGATAAGAAGACGTGCTTATTAGTTTTTGGCATGGGCAGATCTAGACGTTTAGAAGATACGGGGAAAAAAGTACTAAAAATGGTAATTCAGTTTTTCAGAGATCGAAGCGTCCGATTTGAATAATTCAAATAACATTTTATTTATATTGACTAAACAAAAAACTGTTAAATTTTTTGGAAAAACAGGTTCAGCGGTTATGGAGTCTCAATGAAAAAAACGTGAAAAAATGTAATTCGGCAAATTATCAGATATTTCATAGAGATTTTAATAATGTGTACACATTTTGTGTCATTTTTTTTTTTGGTTCCGTACCAAGATTTTTAATTTTTAAATTCACGTGTATGGTAACATTCCATTCGTATATAAGATAATGGGACGTGCTGGTTAGTTTTTGGCATGAGCAGGTCTAGCCGTTTCGAAGATACAGCGCAAAAAGTGTCAAAAATGTAATTCTATTTTGGAGAGAACGAAGCGTTCGATTTGAATGATTCAAATAACATTTTATTTTAAAACTCTCAAATTCGTTTTTTAGAGTTCTAAAAGAAAATTGAAACTTTTTCTTTAATTTTAAGTTTTGGTACGGAAAGTTCCAGCAATTTGCCTTAGTTATTCCATGCACCACTAGTTTTCAAAGCAATTGTGCTGCGTGGCTATTTTAATGAAGAAATATATTGAAGCGCGTAAACGCCGCATTGCAGTCTAACGGTTAGATGTTGGTACGGAACCCACAAAAATGTAAACAAAACATACTTAATACTAATATCTCTATACAATATCTAATAATCCGATGTGCATATATTTTGTTTCAAAATTTTTTTGTATAAAACATTTTTTTTCTCAATTTTTTTTTCAAAAAAAATTGTTTTTGTATATCGAAAATAATTCAAATTTTATTTTAAATAAGGTTCTAATATATTTTAAACAAATAATTTCAACTTTGCAATTCAGTTTATATGATTCTTATTAATATTAGACAATGTTACAATATTTATAATAATCTATTTGAAAACATACAATATTCCTAGAACATTTTGTTACGATACGGAAAGTTCCAGCAATTTGTCTTAAGACACGATGCCATACACTGCAACTTAAATTTCTGAAATCGGTTCAGGCGTTTTTGAGAAAACGTCGATCACAGGTTTAATTTGAACAAATGTCAAAAAAACGATACTAATTTTTGCAAACTTTGAAGAAATTTTAAAATTAAACGATATTTTAGTATGATCTATAAGACTATGGTTTCTACGGTCAAAAAAAATATAATGAAGTTTTGTTTTGAAAGAAATCGACGATTACGGCCCTATGACAAGTCATTTAGTTTTAAAAATTTTCAAAGTTTGCAAAAATTAGTATCGTTTTTTTTTGCATTTGTCAAAATTAGACCTTTGATCGACGTTTTCTCATAAACGCGTAAACCAATTTCAGAAATTTAAAAGCCATTTGATGTATCTCAATGAGGACTATCGTTTTGCAGTTGTGAGACAATCTGTCGAGCCATTTCTTTGTAATTTGAAAAAAGTGTTAAACTTTTCGTCCACAGTTAAGCTCCTACCACCGAATCGATTTTAAGTAATCAAAAACTGTTCGAAAGATAGTACGGTAGAGCGGGGCTAGTAGAGCATAGGGGCAATTTGAGCAATCAAAATATCTCGAAAACTATTCACCGTCCGTTTAGGCATTATATGGCGGAAAGATAGAGGTTTGGGAGAAATAAACATCCCGCGATCGCTAGTGGCCGCTTGATAAATAAGTGAGGCTCACGGGCGTTTTGTTTATTTTGAGACCAAAAAGTAAAAAAGTAATCCATTACGAGTTTTCATCTGGTTTAGTCAAATGTTATTTATTTTTAATCAGGTAAATGTTATTCTTCCATATAATTATAGTACTTTTAATATGCACAGAGATTCTGGGTATAATTCTCACGGTTTTTTTTATAAACGCACTTTTATTTTGAAATTCCGAGCTGGGCATAGTTGCTAAATTTGTTTTGTCACTAAGACAATTAGCAATCAATTCCAGAAATTAGTTATTATTTTTAAGATTTAAGCTAAGTCTATGAGTAATAATATAAAGAAATAATGATTTTAAACAAAAATACTGTATATAATGGTAAAATAATTTCTAAGATACGATATTGTTTTGTTGATTCTACTTTTCGTTAATTATTCAAATCAAATTACTGTAAGTTTTATTTTCTCCGTCAATAAAGACTATAAAAATAGAACTAGTTATTAAAAACTTATTTTATTTCATCTCTAATCGACATTGAACCTATGATTTCATTCTTTTTTTCTTAGTGCTCAAATTGCCCCACCTATGGGCTACATTAAGCATACTTGACTTTTTGCATTTAAACAGCTGTAGCTTTTAAATTTTAGTTATTACCAAAAAATAGTATTAACACTTTTCTTAAGCGATAAACAACAAATCCATTAAGCCATATAGCAATTTATTGAGACTTTTCATTGAGGAGCTACATCCGTTTAAGTAAAAATTTGCTCAACTAGCCCCGCCCTATCCTATTTGGGTATGATACTGATTAGTTTTAGGTGAAAATCTACCGAGCCGTTTTCTTGTAATTAACTGTTGAGAAAAAAAATGTATGCCGATTTTCATGAAACTTTTTTTGGCGATATATATCATGGTCTTATAGACCAATTACTGAAATATTACGGCTTTACAACAAGTAGTTTAATTTTAAAAATTCATCAAAGTTTGAGAAAATGAGTAGTTTTTTTGACGTTTGTTATAATTAAAATTAGATGATTTACTTGGTATAACGATATAGTACTTGGTCTCAATGCACATACTAAATCATTAAAGTCCTACGGAAACTGGTTTAATTATAAAAATTATTGATTTTTTTTAAATTGGCTTGTAGAAAATACTAAGTGTTCGTTCGTTTTCAATTATGTGTAATAAAATCACTCGGAATACTTTCAATCACTCATGAATTAATTTATTTTTTATTGATTAAGTTGATTATTTACTCATATCGGGAAGTACATGTAACTGGCTTTTCATTTAATAGAATAGATTTTGGTTGCATGAATTAGTCGAAGTACTTGAAGTTTGGGCTAAATTGTTTTTGTGTTAATAATTTAAAAAAAGTGAAATGCGAATCAAGAGCAAGGCACCGTAACCATATCTACAAGCATATCACTAAATAGAGGCTTTAGTGATGAAGAATTCAAAATTTATTAGCACACCAAGGAATGGATATCATACGATAATTATCTTGGTCAAAAAGCAATAACAAATGAAAACAATCAAACCAGGACTAACTGGTAGAAAGAATCCGGTGTGCATTTTGTGCGACTGATTGGAAGTAATTTGTTTCCGTATGGTAAAACATTAAAATATGTCTCCCGTCATAGAGTCTTGATTTGGCGCCATGCGATTAACATAGTTTTCTTGATTTGTAAAATTTTTGTAACAATAAAAAATATGGCTTTTTTGGCAAATGAATTTGGGACTTTCATGAAAAGGGCATTATAAATTCACCAATAAAATATACAACATAATCCCCGCGGCGCTTTGAAATAAGTTATAAACAATAATAAAAATTCTTACATACCATATCAATATTGGCCATATGACAATCGTGCTTCCATTTCGTCCTATCTAATTTTCCTAAAGTAAAACTTTCTTCAAAGATCAACTGGTCTTTGCAAATCTTACCTTGTCCTGGTACGAAAGTAGCAGATGGCTCACAAGATGGCGGTTCTGAAAAAAAATTTCTTGTATACTTAAAAGAATTACATAAAAAATTTAATTATTTATGAATGAAATATATATAGGGGAGGGCATAGTAACAATAATTTTATTTGAGAAGGCGATAGAAAGGAGAGAAGTGCTGAGATAAAAAGTATAAATTATTCAATTCATTTTTAAAATTAAATTTAGGTACAAGAAAGTATATGAAAGAAATAAAAGAGGTACCATTTACAGCGTTATCATATTAAAGATATTGTTAGAAAAGTGCTAAGATACCAATGAGAGCTTAATTTATAAACTGGCAGAAAGCTTCCTAGTAAACTATTATAGAGATATTAAAAGTCTAAATATAAGGATGATCCCTAAACTGTATTTGAAACAAATTACATAAAATGTTAAATTTAAAACAACTAGAAACCAATAGCGTAGAAGTCGGAATAAAACTGTGGCAACTATATTGCTGGTAATTCTTATGAATTGGATGCATACTATAAAGTAATCACGAACTGAAATAAATGTACCAACATTTCAAGAACTTAATATTTCTCTTTACTTTTTGTTATCTTACTATAAACGTTTAAGATAACAAAGACAGCTATACCAAAATAATCCTAAAATATTATTGACCACGACTTGCTTATGAATAAACAGATGAATAAATCTGCTCAAAGTTTTATGAATTATATAAAAGATCTGTTTACCTTTACTAAGCCTATCTCTAACATCTAAGTCTTGATTAGGAATAGGTTGACGAATTTGATTTCCAGACCCGGCTAAAATAATAAATTTAATATGAATTATTCAACTTTATTATAAACTAGCTGTAAGTGGAATTCTGTCTTGAGGCAATTATGGCATCGTGCCTTGAGGCAAATTGCTGGAACTTCCCGCACCGTAACGAAATGATCGAGGAATATTGAATGTTTTCAAATAGATTATTATAAATATAGTAACATTGTCTAATATTTATAAGAATTATATAAACCGAATTGCAGAGTTGAAATTATTTCTAAAGTATATTAGAACTATAGTCAGAATTAAAAATAAAATCTGAAATATTTTCGATATACAAAATACTACAAAAAAAAAAAAAAAAAAAAAAAAAAAAAAAAAAAAAATTTTTTTTCCAAATCAATTATTTTGTTAAGACAAGCAGAAAGTTCTTTGAATCATTTAAATCGGACGCTTAGTTCTCTCAAAACTGCCATTTTTTACATATTTAGGTCCGTATCTTCGAAATGGCTGGCCTGCCCTAATAAACACTTCTCCCAATCATTACTAATTGAATGTTTTTTAGATCATTCAAATCGGATACTCCGTTCGCTCAAAAATTCGATTTCTATTTTTTGCACTCTTTGCTCCGTATCTCCGAAACGGCTGGACCTGCCTTAGCCAAAAACTAATCAGCTCTTTTCCCAATCAATAGGAATCGAATGTTTTTTGAACCATTCAAATCGGTTGATCCGTGCGCCCTAAAACGTGACTGGAAATTTGTATCCACACATACATACACACACACACACACACACACACACACACACACACACATCCATTTTTTCTGAGGTATGCCAAAACGTTCAGAAACCTTCAAAACGTCGAGAAATGTAAAAATTTTCAATTCCGATTTTCGGCCCATTACAATAACTTACCCTACGGGAAGTTAACAAGTATAACTATTTACATAATATGTGATGAACAAAGTAATAAAATTCGTATATTAATAAATAAATATACTGACAATTTGATGTACCAGGCATCTGTCCATTAGAAACTTTTGACGGTTGGTTTCCGTTAGTTGGATCCACTAGAAAATGGCAAAAGATGTTAAAATTGAAAAAAGGAAGATATTTGCATATGGTTTTATTGTTGAAAAAATAATTACCACTCAATAATTCGCCTATTGCATTGGATGCTGGATTGTGACTGATGGTTTGAACTGAAAACAATAATATTAATAAATTTCTTTAAAGCATTTTGGTTATCAGAAAATTTGATTGCAAGTCATTCGTAAATTTATGCAATTTTGATTTTCAGTATAAATTACGCATAGAAAATTAAAAAAAAGTTTTAACACAAGTATTTATATTTAGCCTGTTGGTAATTATATTAATTCAAAGTAAAAAACTGTTAGGTTAATAATATGTTGCGTAACGTATAATAGTTGGGTTAATAAAACGTGGTAGTTAGGGGCAAGTCCCGTAACGCCGGACAGCACCAAGAACCGGACACTCTATTTAACACGTATTATTTAAGCGAGTATAAATCTTTTTATATCAAAATACAAGTAAAGTGGGCGCGGGGGGCACACAGGTACAAAATCACGCGCCAAACCTTGCCTGTGACGCACACGGCCACGGCGGAAGCAACCGTTTGCTGTTTTAGGCACAAAATCACGGCGTCACCTAAATATCAATGGAATTAATTCTAGTATATTTATTCATTTACATTTGAGTGGCATTCAAAAATAAAGGTAGTACTTGATTGTTACCCGTAAAATGGTAGAATAATATTGATATTTTAAACAATTTTAGTAGGTACCACCACATGAACGAACATGCCTGTCCCTTTGGTGTGGCCCAGCCAAAAGGGTGGATGAATAGTGACTTTTTTTGCAATTTCTAAGAATATTTGTCAAAGACACATGTGCAGACATTCCAATGTGTGAAGATGGCTTCATCAGTGAAGTGATCAATGCAGGTTATTTTGAAATGTGCGGTACTAAGTGCCACTGTTTTAAATCATATTTTTTGATACCAATGTTTGAATAATAGTATTAATTATTTTTTAGCAACTAGTGGGGTGGGTGGCATCGTGCCTTAAGGCAAATTGCTGGAACTTCCCGTACCGTAACGAAATGTTCGAGGAATACTGAATGTTTTCAAATAGATTATTATAAATATTGTAACATTGTCTAATATTTATAAGAATTATATCAACTGAATTGCAAAGTTGAAATTATTTGTTTCAACAAAAAACTAAAAAAAAAAAAAAAAAAAAATGAACAAAATTTTTTTTTTCCAAAATCAATTTATTTTGTTAAGACAAGCAGAAAGTTTTTTGAATCATTCAAATCGGACGCTTAGTTCTCTCAAAAACTGCCATTTTTTACATATTTAGCTCCGTATCTTCGAAATGGCTGGGCCTGCCTTTGCCAAAAACTAATAACACTTCTCCCAATCATTACTAATTGAATGTTTTTTTAGATCATTCAAATCGGATACTCCGTTCTCTCAAAAATTCGATTTCTATTTTCCGCACTCTTTGCTCCGTATCTCCGAAACGGCTGGACCTGCCTTTGTCAAAAACTAATCAGCTCTTTTCCCTATCAATAGGAATCGAATGTTTTTTGAACCATTCAAATCGGTTGATCCGTGCGCCCTAAAACGTGACTGGAAATTTGTATCCACACATACATACACACACACACACATACACACACACACACACATCCATTTTTTCTGAGGTATGCCAAAATGTTCAGAAACCTTCAAAACGTCGAGAAATGTAAAAATTTTCAATTCCGATTTTCGGCCCATTACAATAACTTACCCTACGGGAAGTTAAAAAGATTGCGGTTTTGTTAATTTAGTTTGATTTCTAACTTTGTTATCTAACATAAATCATAATTTAATAAACATTTCGTAAAATATTTTTTTAATTTTTATGACAGTGTTATGCCGACACCAAAAATGTTGAAATAAAGAGAAGTGTATCTTACGAAGTGAAAATTATTTTATTTATTGTGTCTTTTATTTTTTCGAGCATTTTTTTATTTCTGATATAATTACAGCATAATTAGTTCTATAGAATAGTAATAGAAAACAATTAAAAAGATTTAATTATAATCGATCAAAAAGGAGGTGAAAATCTAAATGAAGCACAACCTTATAGCTGACGCATTTGCTATTAATTTAATTATAATTTATGTATTCTAGTCTTGCAAACTAGTGTCTGAGTGATTTTCGATTTATATAAATAATCTATTTAATCAATATCATTTGTGTATGTGATTTACTTATCTATTTGTTTGAAGGCCTACTTACATTTAAAATGACTTTCTGTAGGGTAAATTATTGTAATCGCCCGAAAATCGAAAATGATAATTTTTGCATATCATTACGTTTCAAAGGTTTCTGAACATCTTGGCATAATTTAGAAAAAATGTATGTATGCATGTGCGTGTGCATGTGTATGAATACAATTTTTTGTCCACGTTTTCAGGAGCACGGATCAACCGATTTGAAATATTCAACTATAGTACATGGCATCGTGCCTTAAGGTAAATTGCTGGAACTGCCCGTACTTTAATAAAATATTCGAGAAATAATAAATGATTTCAAATAGATTATTATAATTACTGTTACTTTCATTATTTATATTTAAATGATAAAATATAAGAGCTTATAATTTGTTTGACGACGTTTATATATGTCTACATGAAAAGTAAATAAACAAGAGTGGATCAAGCGAAATTAGAATGAATGAACTTATCTCAACTTATATAAACTGAATTGCATTTTTTTTTATTTGAAGTATATAGGAGAGTTTTAGGATTTTAGCTAGAATTAAAATAAAAGTAAAGATATATAAAAAAGTGTCATTTTCGATTATATTTCCTAAGGGAAGATAATAAGGGAGGCACAATAATTTTTTTTATTAGACCGGGTGGCGTGGTTCGAAAAAGGTTGGAAAACACTGGCTTAACCTATTGCCGCACAAAACTGATTAAAGCAACTTGTTTCCGAACTTAAGGAAAAGTAAAAACATTTTCTGAATTTTGTGCTAAATTATTCCGAATAACCTGAAACTTAAAATGGGCGAAGTTGACTTTCTGATAAACTTTTTCAAATCATTCCTAATCTTTTCTTTTACAGCATTACAATTACTTAAAGTAAACTATTAAATCCTAACCTGCAAAATTAGGTGTAGCTAATATATTCGTCAGCAAGCTGCAGGTGCACCAATTAAATAACAATATCACACAGAACAAAATTATATTAAAATTAATTATCTTCATTTTGAAGTGGTTCTAACCAAAATATATTTTAATACTAAAAAACTTGTTTCAATAAAAACTTTTAAAAACTAACACAACCTATCTCGCGTGTGCAATTTAATTTATAATTTTTGTTGCGATAAATCATATGACCTCGAATTTGTAAAAAAATGAAAAAATAAATTATCAAATCATTAAATTGTTATTTTAAATTATTTAAAAAAATATATAAACAATATGTTCGGTTGAAAAAGTTTTATCGCAACGGGTTTTTTAGACAAAGTTTATCACTAATTGATGACCTTAAAGATAATTGAATTATTTATGAAATATTTTTAAAAACGAATTGTAACTTTATTTCCTATAATTAGTATTATATATATATATATATATATATATATATATATAATATATATATATATATATATATATATATAAATACATATGTGTATGTTTAAATATATAAGGACTCCATCCACAGAGCATTTGGTTTAAGACAAGTTTCCAAGGTAAACTTTAGGCAATTTAGAAATGATAACCTAAGAACCACGTTTCTGGGACCACGGAACAACCGATTTGAGATATATAATCTATTCCCAATGATAAGGGGGCGTACTGATTAGTTTTTGGCAAAAGTCAGTACAGCCGTTTCAGAGATATAAAGCAAATAGTACAAATAATGGAAATTAAGTGTCGAAGAGAACGGAACATCCGATTTGAATGATCCAAAAAACATTCAATTCATAATAATTTTTCTCACTTCTAACTTTATTGTAATTTATTATATTGTAATCGGATTGTGAAAACAAGAAATAAAAAAAAGAAAAATCGTAATGACAAGGAGAAGTGATGAGGAGCTAAAAGTGTAAAAAATGGCAGTTTTTGAGAGAACAAAGCATCTGATTCAAATGATTCAAAAATCATTTTGCTTGTGAAGAAACTATTAGTTTAGTAAAGCAAAAAAATTTGTTTTCCAAAATTTGATTTTTTTATTTTTTATTATAAACAATTATTTGGATTTCAATTTTAACTCTAGCAAAAATTCTTAAACTCTCTTAAATACACCAATTACTTAATTTTATCTTTGAAATTTAGTTTATATAATTCATAGAAAATGAGATTAGATCCTTCATTCTTACTCCGCTTCATTAAGTTTTGGTTATTTAGTTTTCATGTAAATAGGTATAAACGTCGTCCAACTTCTAAGAACTTATATTTTGTCTATAACATACGAATAGTGAAAGTCACTGTATTTATAATAATCTATTGGAAAACATTTAATATTCTTAGAATATTACACTTACTGTACTGTAATTCCAGCAATTTGCCTTAAGGCATGATGCCATGCAGCACTAGTTTTAATTTTTTTAACTAGAAACAAACGCTTGCTTAGGACATGAATTGTATTAGGACATATACACTGTATGTCGTAAAAGATGTAGGCCCATTATACCGCACAATAATATTTTTTTATTATTCAACAATTTGTCCTATGCGTATAGCATTTTATAATGCACGTTTAGCTTTAAACCTCAAACTATTATTCAGCAATGCAAAAAAATTATTTTTAATATTTATTATTAATTTATTAAAACTATTCGTATATGTTAATTATAAATAAAACGGCTCAGCCGATCGTCACGCAAAACTAATCAACGCAAGTTCATATTGAGTTTCGTCAAATGGCTTTTGAGATTTTGAAATTGATGTACTCATTGTTTGAATATTGCCTAGAGATATATAAATACATTATTGAACACATCGCCCGATTGGGCCATGTATAGAATCCTTAATATTGTTTTATGTCTTTATCATGGTATATGGTAATTTAAACATCCAAAACTTTTATAGTTTTTCTGGTAATTTTGTTTCATAATTCTTAATATATAAGGGTTTTTAGCTTATTCTTGACATTATTCATTAACAAGGTAATACCCATAATTTCATAAATTTATCTTTCGGGAAAAAACCGTTTCAATTCAATGTCAGCATTTTTACGTGCGACTCAACCCGGAACGGTATTCAAAAAATTATTTAAGCATTGTTAAAGACTTCAATGAATATTTACAATTAAATACCCATATGGTAAGTTATAGTAATCGCAAAAAAAAATCGAAAGAAAATGTTACTAGAACTTTTCGCAATTTAATTTTATTTATTTATTTATTTTTTGACTTGCCTATGCCAAAAACTAATTAGCACGTCTCCTTATCAATACGAATCGAATGCTTTTTGAATTATTCAAATCGGTTGATCCGTCTTCCCGAAATTTTCGACGGAAATTTGTATCCCCACACACACACATACACACACACATACACCCATACATACACACACCTTTTAAGATATGCAAACATGTTCAGAAACCTTTCAAACGTAAAGATATACAGAAAATTTTATTTTCGACTTTTTGCGATTACTATAACTCAACCTAAGGGAAGTTAATAAAATTAAAATCCGATATATTTTTGATATCCAAAGAATTTTTATTTGAAAATTTAAAAAAAAATGCTTTCCCCAAAAATAATCTTTACACCAGTACAAGCAAAGGCTTTTTATTCATTCAAATCGAATGCTTGGTTCTCTCACAAACTGCCATTTCTTGCACATTTAGCTCAGCATTTCCAAAACGGCAGTATCATTTTTGGCCAAAAGCTAATCATAACTTCTCCTCATCATTACGAAAGGAATGTTTTGAATCATTTAAATCGGATGCTCCGTGCTCTCAAAAACTCGATTTCTATTTTCTGCACACTCCGAAACAGCTGGACAAACTTTTGCCAAAAACTAATCGATATATCATACTACATACACACATATATACTACAAACACTCATAACTATACACAATATCCATTTTTCTAAGATATGCCAAAATTTTTAGAAACCTCTGAAACGTGAAGATAAATATGTTCATATTACATTTTTGACCGATTACTAGAACATACCCTAAAACAAAATGTGTAAAATACATGCTTTTCCAAGTGATGTAAATTGTATTGCTTAATTGCTTTCATAAATAAAGCGTATGCCGGTTTGTGGTTAAGTGTACGTCGCTGATAGCTTATCGACTTATTGTCTAACTGTTAAATAAAGTCTACATAGCATTAAAATCAGTAGATCACCATGCATTTAGTTACTACTCATTTTAATTAAATTACCACATAATATTACGTGCGACTTGCCAATTTTCATGTTTTTCGGACGTTTCAAGTCATTCTGATTCGTTTTGTAGCCAAAATTAAAAACGGAATGTGCATGAGTATGAATTTGTGTGTATGCTTTTTTTTTTATTTTCATCTAAACTACAACTGCCTGAAAAGGCATTCAGTAAGTGTTGTGATTAGTTATTAAATATGTTTTTAGAATACTACCCATTGGTAGTATTTCAAGTTAGAATAATAAATATAAATGTGTGATAATAATTGCAAGCAGATAATAAATATAAATATGTGAGAATAATTACAAGCACTATACTAAATATATAACTATACTAAATCTAATGTATCTTCTTAGTCTCTTGACAGTGTTCGCAGAAAGTAGGTCATTTGCTAGTTCATTTGGATGATTCTCCAATCTTGGCTTATTTTCGCAGCAAATCTACTAATTTCTTCCGCGATTGTTTGTATGATGCAGTCCTGATGAACAAGCCAATTAGGTACATACCTGGGAGCCTCCAGTATTTTTTGAGGATCTTGTTTTGAGCCCTCTGTAAGACGTTTATATTGGTTTGACTGGCACTTCCACAGAGAGAAAGGCCGTAAGTCCAGATTGGTTTTAAGACGACTTAGTATACAAGAAGCTTGTTGTATGTGGATAGTTTGGACTTCGGACCCAACAGCCAGTAAAGTTTTTTGAAATTCTCTTCAAGCTGGAAACGTTTTTTCATTATATGATTTTTCCACGTAAGCCGTCTGTCCAAATGATACCCCAGGTATTTTACATGTTCAACCTGAAGAAGTTGAACCCCATTGATTGAGACGGGCGGACATGTTTTCATTCTTAACGCGAAGGTGATGTGTGATGATTTCCGATTGTTAATTCCAAGTCGCCAAAATTTGTGCCACACTTCTACTAAATTTAAATGCTGTTGCGTGGCATTAGACGCAGCTGTAGGGCTTAGATAGAATGCAGATATCATCTGCAAAAGTGGCGATGTGGGTGTCAGCTGTGGTAGGCATGTCTGAGGTAAATAATAAAATTAATGTGGGACCCAAAATGCTTCCCTGTGGTACGCCTGAGTTTATTCAGAGGAGAGTTGCAATGTGATATATTAATAAAAAACTGTCGGTTTACCAGGAATGATTGAAGCAGTTGGTATAAATTAGCTGGGAGGTTTGTTTTTATCTTGTAGAGGAGACCGGTGTGCCACACCTTATCAAAAGCCTGTGAGACATCTAGAAATGCAGCTGAGCAATATTTTTTTTCTTGTAAATATGAGTTGATTTCCTGGACTACTTTGTGAGTTTGTTCGATTGTTGAGTGGAGTTTCCTAAAGCCAAATTATGCGGATTGTGTTCTTGTTACTCAAAATTGCATGGATCTTCTTAAGCAGTAATTTTTCAAAAATTTTAGACAAGATGAGCAGTAATCGGCCTGTAGGATTCCATCAGAGAGGGATCTTTGCCAGGTTTTGGTATTAGAATTATTTTTGCAAATTTCCAGGAACACGGAAATACTTTTAGTCTGATAATGGAGTTGAACAGAATGGTTAGAAATCTCAAGCCTTTTTGTGAGAGATGCTTCAGCATATGTATCGTGATTTGATCATGGCCAGGGGCTTTGCCTGATTTTGACTTCGTTATTTCAAGTTCTACTTCAGAAAGGGAAAAGCGGGTATCTGAATGGTCGCCGTATGTTAAAGAATCTTTTAGATTATTGTGAATAAACTCTTCTTCTTGGGTACTGCATTGCTGTCGCAGAGGATGAAAAATTTGTTCGAAAAAGTTGGCAAACGAGTTGGCTTTATCCTGTTCATTTCTGACCCTAGTGTTGTTTGCTTCTTTAATAGCTGGAACAGATATAATTGGTTGTTTAAAATTTTTGATGACTTTCCACAGTGAGTAGTTTGTGTCTGAAATAGCTGATAGATTTTTCAGTTTGGTTTCAAAGATCTTATTGTTGTGTTCTCGAAAACAGGTTTTGAGCTCTTTGCAAGCTTTTTTTAATTTTGATTTGTCCATCGGTGATCTTGTGAGTTGCCATTGTTTCCGAAGTCTTCTTTTAATAGCCACTTGTGTGTATGCATAGGTATTTCGGCCTGGTCGCTTTTTTATAAACCACCATTGTTTACATTTTTTGACCATTTTAGTGAAACTTTTAAAATAAACGTCCTGAAATATTAAGGGTCTACAAAAATTGTTGAATTCTAGAAATTCATTAACTCCAACAAATAACGGGTTGCGGTTACGAGGTTGCGACAAGATGGCCATTTTAGACAATACACAGTGTATGTATTGGCGTGTGGTTTTTTGTTAAAAAATGAATGCATAAAACTCGCCAAAAATAACAACTATGTTTGACAAATACGTATCCAATTTAATAATCAGCAAAGTTAACATTTTATTCAAAACATTAATGAATATTTACAATTAAGAACCCCTAGGGTAAGTTATAGTAATCGCAAAAAAACTCGAAAACTAGTGGTGTATGGCATCGTGCCTTAAAGCAAATTGCTGGAACTTTCCGTACCCTAATGAAATGTCCGAGGAACATTAAATGTTTTCAAATAGATTATTATGAATACTGTAACATTGTCTAATACTATTTATAAAACTATATAAACTGAATTACAAAGTTAAAATTATTTATTTGCAGTGTATATGTGATATATAAGTATATACCTAGTAATTTTGGAAAAACAAAATTTGAATTTTTTTTTCAAAAGCAATCATTTTGTCAAAACAAGCAGAAAGTTTTTTGAATCATTCTGCCTAAAACAAATCACCACTTCTCCCCATCATTACGAATTGAAAATCGGATGCTCATCCGTTCTCTCAAAAACTCGATTTCTATTTTCTGCACTCTTTGCCTTGTATCTCCGTAACCGCTGGAATTGTCTTTGCCAAAAACTAATCAAAATATCTCCCTATAAATAGGAATGTTTTTTGAATCATTAAAATCGGTTGATCCGTGCGCCTGAAAACGTGGACGAAAAAATGCGTTCATACAAAATACACACACACATACATCCATTTTTTCTGAGTTATGTCAAAATGTTCAGAAACTTTCAAAACGTGAAGATATGCAAAAATTTCATTTTAGATTTTTGGCCCATTACTATAACTACCCCGCGGAAAGTTAAGATATTTTTAAAAACTTTTAGAATAATTGTCAAATTTATCAAAATTTTCAAAATACCAAATGTTTTCAAAAATTTCCAAATTCTCCAAAAATTAAAATTTCCAAATTCTTCAAAAATTAAAAATCGTTTTTTTTTCAATAGTTTAAAAAAAATTAAAATTCTGAAAAAAGAAAATACCAAAAAAACCCAATTTTTGAAACTTTTCTGAATTTTCAAAAAAATTAAAATGAAAATTTCTTTTAACTTGTAAACATACACATAAGTTGATTGTAGGATACGCTCGTCGCCCAATTTAATAGTGGTAATTTGTAAGTGGCTTTTTGCCTTAAGACAAAAGACAAGTTACATGAACTTCTCGATATGTGTAAATAATCGACTCAATCAATAATAAATATAAAAATTTATGAGTGATTTATAAGTATTCCGAGTGAATTTATTATACATTATTGAAAATCGAACAACTCGGAGCATTTTCTGTAAGCAATAATTTGCATTTTCGGTTTTTGGCCCATTACAATAACTTACCCTACGGGAAGTTAAAGAGCATTCGATTCCTATTGATAGGGAGATGTGAGTTGTTGGCAAAGCAGGTGCAGCCGTTTCGAAGACACCGAGCAAGATCTGCAAAAATGACAGGTTTTGAGAGAACTAAGCATCCGATTTGTATGATTTAAAAAAACTGCTTGTGTTGACGAAACGATTGCTTTTGGAAAAGTTTTTTTTCAATATTTTTTTAACACGGAAAATAATTCGGATTTTAATTTTAATTTTAGCTAAAGTGCTAAAGCTCACTAATATACTTCAAGTGAATAATTTAAACTTTGCTATTCAGTTTATATAATTCTTATAAATGCTAGACATCACCTTCATTTTGACTTTGATTGATTGAGTTTTTTTATTTACTTTTCTGTTAACATATATAAGTTGCAGAATTTATAATACGCTATTTGAAAGAAATTTAATATTTCTCGAATATTTCATTACAGTACGGAAAGTTCCAGCAATTTGCCTTAAAGCACGATGTCATAAAACACTTATTGAACCATTCAAGTCGGTTGATTCGTACGCTCAAAAACGTGGACAAAAAAATTGCGGACATACAACACACACATACACTCACATAGACATTCATTTTTTCTAAGGTGTGCCAAAATATTCAGAAACCTCTGAAACGTGAAGATATGCAAAAATTTTCATATAATAAATGCGATTACAATAACTTACCTTACCGGTAGTTAATAAGGTGGGCGCTGAGTAATATGTTTTCTGGAAAGGAGGCGATAGGTGATATGAGTTTGGGGAAAAATGCTCTAACTAGTGGTGTTTGGATTTGTGTCTTAAGGCTTTTTGCTTGTGTTGACGAAACGATTGTTTTTAGGAAAATTTTAATTTCCATCGAAAATAATTCGGAATATCAAAATTTTAATTTGTTATGTATGGAAAGTTCCAGCAATACGCCTCAATGCAAGGTATTTTTTTTTCATTTTAATAGCAAATAATCAGATATATAAATATTATCAGTGAGTTTCTAATTTTCTAGGACCGCAAGTCAGTGTATTGAATTTTGCAGATATATTACGAGTATGTTTGTAATGAAATGCAATTGCAATTGGTACAACACTGCTGACTGCTGGTTGTTATCAAAATTAATCTTTTACTCTTTCCAAAGAAGGTTGTAAAATAACATCAAAATTTGAAATTATGAAACTATATTTATTTATTTATTCTTTTATTCTTATATATAAAAATTAATCGCAAAATGTGTTGGTAAGCGCATTACTCAACAACGCCTAGACCAATTTGGCCAATACTTTTTTTTAAATTTTCGTTGAAGTCCAAGGATGGTTCTTACGGCGAGAAAAAATCGAATAATTGCCGGGAAAACCCTAAAAGCAACCCTTTTCTTTTTCTCATACAAACGTCTTTTAACTAAAACGTAGAATCAATTTGAGCTTTATTGCTATTATATAAAGCACTCACTGTATACTCCTAAACGATTATTTGGATTTTGATAAATCTTTCTGAAGTTTGTTAAGGAAATTTTCTAGGATGTTTGTGATGTATCATCTAGGATGAAGTACTGGGATGTATGTGCAATATTGTACAAATAAATGAAAAAGCGACATTCCATTGTTTGCATTGAAAACAAATGAAAACTATCATCTGTCAAAAATTTAGATAAAAATTATGAATAAGACAAATGAACTGTCTACAATATTATTGTCAAAAACCAGCTGCTGAGATGTGCCAGAAATTAAAATAATATAAAATACAGTATAGGTATGGCAGATTGAATGATGCACATATGAACAGGATATGACAAATTAATTAATTAAAATATGAAATTAAGTATAAATTAGGGCCGGTCCTTCCATTAATGCAATGCATGCCAAAAATACGAGCGCACGCCTTAGGGGGCGCCAGCACAAGATTCGGATTTTAAATTTTCAATATATAATTTCTTTGCATCTTTTACTAATCTTTCCACAATATTTTTAAAATTCGTAAAAATCTCACTTTATCGATTAGGAGAAGTTCAAGATGCAATTTTGGATATATTAAGTAATAAAAAATTAAATTGATTTAATCCAACATCAGTGTCATGTTATGGTTATGGTTATGTTATACCGTTTAAAAGACTTCAATTTCCAATATAGTGTGGGCATTGAAACTCATCATTTTATTTAA